TTAATCTTTAAAACTAATAATTTTTTTAAAATTAATCAGGACCAATTAGGACCAATTAGGACTTTTACCAACCCTATGTTTGGGTGTCTACTTCTCTAACTAAGACCTGCGATTTTTACAAAAGAAATAACAGCAAAAATTTATTAGATTAATGAATCATTAAATTATACTTTAACAACCAAAAAATAAACATTTTAAATATCATTCTTGTATTGTCAGTTACCTTTTCTTTTTTTATATCAATACTTTCAGTTAGATCCATTATATTGGGCATTTGAATCTTTGGGTATACAATTTCCCTGTCTTTTTCCAAATTTGTATGCAGCTGAAAATTTAATAACATTATCAGATAGTTCATGCTTTTCACGCATTCCATAAAAAAATAGGCTTGCATCTTTAATTGTATCAAAATGCACAATTCCATGCCTGAAAACAGAATCATATCAAATTACAAAAGATACATTAATAAGTTTTACAAGTTGCAACACATTACTTACGTTTCAGCAAGATCTTTAATAACATGTGTAAAAACATATGGTTTCATGAATAACCAATCTTCAATTTCCATTTTCGAAACCTCTTTTAAAACACCACTAAAATAAACACTCTTGGAATCTACACCGCAACCATTGCATAGAATTTGTTCTGTAAATAAATAAGTAGTAAATGAGTGTGAGCGTGAGTGAAGAGTGAGAAAAGATGAGTGAGTCCTCCGCCTCTTACATCTTTGCAAAGAGAAGTTATATATATAACTTACCAGTAGACATGAATATTTTGAAGACGTGAGTGAAGTTTAAAAAAAGAAAGTAGTTTTGAAAGAGAGTAAATTTAATAAGTTTTGATTGAAAAGAAAGAGAGTCAAATTTTGAAGAAAAAAATATTTATTTATATCATATCGATCGACATGTCGTACTTGAGTCTGGAGTACGTGAGTGAACATAATAATATTATTGATCTGTTAAATATCCAATCAGAATTGACACGTGCGGACAACTGGAAAATTCACATGATCATAGTTTTCATAAAGTATAATGTCCTCTGCTATGCTCCGAACAATAAATGAATGCACCTAAAATTCACACGTGAACCTTCTACAGTTCCCAGCGAAAAGAATGGCGAAAACGAATTTTTATGATATATACTAACTTTATTTTTATTGTAATTTTTTTTATTTATTTACAAGACAATCACTAACGGCTACTTTTTTATTATTTAATTA